GGCTCTGGCGCTTTGCAAAAATTACTTTTATTCGTAAAAGAGGGGGCCCCAAAACACGCCCAATAACCTTGACACAGCTCATTTGGCGCATCGGCGCCAAGCACATCGCTCGTGCGCTGCGCAAGTGGGCTTCTACGTGGGCTTCTGAGTGCGATCACGGCGGCCTCCCGGGTCGGTCTCCGGCTGGCATTTTCTTTCAAGTGCACGCCGCACTCAAGCGTGGGGTTAACACTGCAGCTTTGATGGACGTTGCAGGATACTTTGATAGTATGTCTATCCCTGCCATGGGCAGGGTCTTTGCAAGGTTGGGTGCACCGCCCCAGTTGTCGTGCCTCCTAAAATCCTTTTATGACAGTGCTTTTCGGTATTTTAGCTTCGAGGGATCTTACGACCCCATCTGTCACTTGGTCCAATCGGGGTTCGGTCAGGGCTGCCCGCTTTCTCCAATTGCCGCTGCGGCGCTTTCGCACTGCTGGTGCGAGTACGTGCGTGCCTCCTGTGACAACATCGGCACCCAGATTTTCATGGACGACCGGACCTTATGGGTTGAGCCCTCGGGAAATCTTCAGTGTCTTGATAATGCCATTGTTGCCAGCAACCAATTTGATCGAGCGTTTTCACTTAAACTGTCCTTGGACAAATGTTTTATCGCCGCCAGTGATCATGACGCACCTTCTCGGCAGTTGGCAACAAAGTTCGGTTTTAAAACTTGCAATTCCCTGGACCTGCTCGGGATTTCCCTGCCCTTTTCGGGGTTGGGTGGCCTCCCGAAATTTTCTCTTCGCAAAGCAGTGCTTCGACTTCGCTTGCTACGTTGGACACAGGCCTCCACTGCTGCTCGTAGAATGCTGGTTCAGTCTTTAGTTGTACCTTGCTTGACGTGGGCTGCGGGCTTTGCTAGGCCAACTAGAGAGGACATAGATGCGATTCGGGCTGAGGTCCGTTATCTCTTTAGTACCGGCCACGGTGGTGACACGGCCACTGTGGCTTTCTTTGAGTTACTGGGATGGGGTCTTGAGCCTGACTTCGCACTCGACCTCGGCACCTGCAGAACATTGTGGCGATGGGCTTCGCATCCGCCGAGTTGGTTGGAAAATCTTCCCATCAGCTTCCTGCCTGCCCGTTGGCACGCCCAGCTGCCTGAGGTTGAAGCTTTGTTTGCACGCACAGGTTGGTGGTTTGACGATGGTGCAACTAAGATTTGTAGGAGGGATGCCCAAGGTGCTCTTAGGTCCGTCCAAGCCGGTTTTGAGCGCTTCTCTACCTTGCAAAGGTGGTTGGAGGATCACTATCGAGCCAGATACCTCTCACGGTGTCGGCGAGTGACCACCAGCATGCACCGGGGCGGCGATGACGGCCTTGCTACAGGTCTCGCCTTGGGCCCCCCGCCTACTGATTACCGAATCGCGATGCAAGGTCACAAAGCTGCCCTTCGTGAGAACTTGTGTCCTTACACCAAGCGGGCCTCCTTCCTGTCAGGTGGCACCACCTGGTTCTTCAATGCTGCCGCGCCTTCGGGTTTAACTCGAGAGCGAACTTCCTGTTTGTGCGGAGCGTCGCTGCCCAGCCGGGCGCACCTCTTGTGGGTTTGTCCGTCAACTCGTGACCTCAGGCAAGGACTTACTCTGCCGGAGCACCGTGGCGAGGAGCGACTGCTTGCAAAGCACATTCGTGAAATACCACCGGCCCCGCCGGCGCTTGACCATGACGGTTTGATTCAAGAAATTGCCGATGCAATCTCCTCAGCCCTCCAAGGCAAACCCCACATTACCCTTGCGACCGATGGGTCGGCTAAAAGTGGTGTTGCTGGGTACTCGGTGGTGGTTGATCACCCTGAGGTGCATTTCGCTGGGGGAGACGGGTCCGAAGACCAAAGCCCCTTTCGGGCCGAGGTCTGCGCCCTGCACCTGGCTCTCAAAAGTCTTCTTGTTGCTGCTGCCGGTGGTGCTGCTGGTCGGGTTTCCGTTGCTGTTGACTGCACGGCGGCCTTACACGCTGTGCATCACTGCACTTCAATGCCTCTGTTCAGCGATGCTATTGCATCACTTCTCCGTGAAATCAGGACCACATCATTGCGTGTCACACTGCTGTGGGTGCCTTCTCACGGCAAGCATCCGTCTTGGCAACCGGATGACAATGATCTCGATGCTGCCACGGTGCGTCTGCTGAACGACGCTGCTGACGCCGCTGCCAAAGCATGTGTTGAACGCAGACTCCGCGGTTCTCTTCGGCTTCAGTGGGCTCAGGACGCCATTGTTGCGAAGAGGTGGGAGCTCCAAGCTGTTAGAGCGTCTGCAAAAACCGCTGAGCGGCTTCACAATCATCTCCAATCTCTGGCCCCTCCCACGTGAACGGGCTGCTACTGCTGCACATGGTGACTCACCAGGGACACTCCTCGTGTTGTGCACGACCTTCTTGAAAGCCGTCGGGCCCTCTCCCACGAGTTCCGTCCTGGCTTGCCTGTGGCACACGGCCTCCCCCACGGGGCCTAGGTTAGGGTTTAGTCCTGGTTTTCCCACCTGCTTGCGCTTGTGGTACTGCACCACCGGCTCCCGGCCTGTGGTGCGTACTGCCTTGACTGCTCAATGGCTGCTGGAAACCTTTCCACGTGAAGACTCGCGACGGCTGTCGCTGGTGGGCTGCTGCGCTGCCTTCCTGGGCTGCTGTGGCGGCACCCCTGGGCTGCTGCGAGGACTCCTGAGTTCAGACGTCGTCGTGAACACTGACTGCTTGCTTCGTGTACAGTGTAAATACGTTTGGGGCTTCCGCCCTTGCCTGCACTCAGACTCTGTACATCTGATCGTAAGGCAACTGAGTTTCTGGAGCTGCATTCGTGCTTTTGGCTCCTTTTAAAGGTCTGTAAGCACCTTGATGCTTCTGCATCTGTAAAGTTTGTCCGGCTAGGATGAGACTTTGCCCTGGTCCGTAGAAGGCTCCTTTGTACACCCCGAGTCCTTCTGTCGCTGACTGAGTAGTTACGCTTTCCGACTGTGCTGGTACAATGTTTGCACACAGGAAAGTTCTTCACCCGAGTGCTAGACTCCGCGTCGGACTTCGGCTACCGCGGGGCTCGCATCACGTAGTGCCAACTTGAGCTTTTGGTGTGCAGTTCAATTGCTCTTGTTCTGCTCTGAGACTTCTGACACGTCGTTCACGTTCGCGTGAGCGGCGCGAGTACCCAACAAGTAAAAAAAGAGGCGCTACTGAGGAAGGCTGTGACGACGAAGTTCCCTTCGACTCTGGTGCTAATGGAGCTGGCGGAAGAGCTCTCCGCTAAAAACTGCGAGCTACAGCTCCAGTGGATCCGCCGAGATCTGGACCATCTAGCAGACGATCTCACGAACGAGAACTTCGCTAGTTTCTCCCCGGACTTCAGGGTGAACCTGGAGGGGGAAAAGCTAGAGTGGCGAGTGCTGGGCCGTCTCCTCGAAGACTCGGCTAGCTACTTCCGAGAGCTAGTAGTGAGGAAGAGGACCGAGGGACCGAAGGTTCCGAGGTTCGCGAAGAAGGCCCGTAAGCTAGGTTCCTGGTTAGCCCTTCGGCTGCGCTAGGAGATCAGCTAGCCAAAGGCTAGAGGTTTTCTCCGGGCTAACGCGGGTCTTTCGCCACAACGCTAAAAAGAGAGAGTTCGTGTTGTCCGTGCTACGGTCTGAAGCGTGTGAGCTTAAGCTAGGCTGTGCTACGAACTCCGAGGAGGTGTAGTGCGAGGTGGCGGGTGGATACGCTAGCTAGTGCACGCACTCATGCCGAGGGACGAGGTACGACCGTGTATGCTAGCGCTAGTATCCTTTGTTGAAACATCGAAGGTGTTTCGCTAGAAAACGTCGAAGGGGTTTTCCTCGAAAGCTAAACAGAGCAGTCCTGTCTGTTTGCTAGAGTGCCTGCACATGGCCGGTGGAACTGAGCTATTCCGTGGCCATTGTGCTGAAAGGCCCCCTGCTAGTGGAGGGCAATTTTCGAGGGCCCACCCAACTCACCCTGGAGATCAGCTAGCCAAAGGCTAGAGGCTTTTTTCGGGCTCAACGCTAACAAGAGAGAGTTCGTGTTGTCCGTGCTACGGTCTGAAGCTTGTGAGCTGAAGCTAGGTTGTGCTACGAACTCCCAGGAGGTGTAGTGGGAGGTGGCGGGTGGATATGTTAGCTAGTGTGCCCATTTGTTCTAGTTGGAATGATGTGTTCGTGAGCTCCGCATTCCTGTGTGTTGATCCCGTTGGATTCTTTGTACGCAGATATGGGAAGACATCCACATGCGTGGATGAAGCAGCGAACACAATTCTGCTTGTTTTTTTGCTCCTGCAGACGGGATGTAATGCTGACATGCGAATTGAATACAGCCACTCATGTATGCAAGTACGTGCAAGCAATTCGGGCACCTTCTCCATCGTCGCCCATCAATCTCTGGCCATGGGCGTGTCATGAGTCATGGATCTGTTCCACATCGGCGGCGATTCGTTACGATGTGTCAGGCGCAATTAAATGCAATGAAGGCCTGCCAAAACGCGTAGTTGGCGCCGAGCTGAACATTGATTTCATGTTTGGATTGACTTGGGGACCTTGGGTTTTACTCGCACTCACTAGCTTTGCTTGTGTTGCTGCTCGTTTTGGGAAGATTTCAGAGGCTGGTCTCTGCCTGTCGCAGGCGGAGCTGTTGGATCGACGACTTTCTGTCGTGGGCATCGATTACGAGGACCCCTCTCTCTCTCCCTCTCTCTCTCTCGCCCACGTGGCGTGCAGAAGGTAACATGTTAGACGAGTGCAGGCAGCCTATGTTCGCAAAGCGGAGGCATGGCTTCCCGACCTTCCGCTGCTTATAAGAGGGCTCGTTCCCGCACCTCAGGCGGTGCTGCGTGCCGAAGCGCTCTGGCGGCCAGCTCCTGCTGGCACCGAAGGATACCGACAGGGAGAGCTCTGATCTCGGCGAGAGCGCAGCCTGGCCCTAGCACAGTTCACTTCAATGACTAAGGTTCTACTGTGCAGACCTAAGCGCGCGACAACTTGTGAATGCCTGAATGCCTCGAGCCTCGTCGGGCCAATTTTTGCAGAGGTCATGTCTTGGAGCGTTCCATCTACGACAACTTGCTCGACCTTTGCTTCCAGGCCGGAGGGTCCCGGCTGCCAAAACATGTCACGAAGCGATCCGCCGATCCGCCGATCCGCGAGGTGGGCGACGAAGCTTTCACTGGCGAAGTGCCCGAGGATGTGCCGGAGGCGCACGCGGCGCGCGGGTTTAAGCGCGGTTAGCAATCCTCCACGAGGCGCCAGGCCGAGGAAGGGCAGAACGTGGGACGGGCCTTCCTTGAAAGCCTTGGGCAGGAGATGCGCTTTGATGCCGTCTACTTCTCCGGTTCATTTTCCGTCCCTGAACCAGATGTTGAAGGATCGGAGTTTCTTGCTGTTGGGCCATCGCAGGTCTTGCCTGACCCGCCTGCCGCCCTCAGAGCAGGCCCACTGCAGGGCATAGCTTGTATCGGCATTGGGTCCTTACTGTACTGATCGGACTCTGTCTGTCTGTCTGTCTGTCCGTCATTAGTCTCTTATTCTGGACATGCCCGCCCCCTCCCCCCCCCCCCCGCCAGCGCCAGTTCTGCCTCTGATGAAGCGCAACGGACGCATCTTCATAACACAGCGGGACCCTGAGAAATCTGAGAAGAAGCGGTCGGAGAGTGCAGCCGAGTGCGGCCTGGCCGCAAAGGACCTTCCAGAAGAGATCTTCGCCTCTGATGGCCTTCTTGAAGCCTCTGCAGGGTGCCCCTTTCCCTTTTTCACTGCGCAGTTGCAATGTTTCCTGCGTGTCCATTTTTCCTTATAAGGCTGAAGTACATCACCACCATCGACTTCGGCCAGCTCGTAACCGAGGTGGAATCTGCTTCGCCAGTTGCAAGAGTGCAAGAGCCCTGCTCGGGGTCCAGGAAGACCTTGAGCGACTGATCTCCAGTGCAGGGTGTTTCGAAGTCCTTGAGCCTCAGACTCAGAGACTCAGAGACCCAGTGACCCAGCCGGCGGAACTGCGGCGCAGAACGGACGACTTGGACAGGAACAAGCCCATCCCCGGCTCCGTCTCGACCCACCTCCAGACTGCCAGGCTTGTTATACTGAAGGCCCGGCCCCCTACTGGCGGCCCCCGGGCCCCTCCTGCCCACCGCTGCAATCAGATTGGCATGCTCTGACTTTGCCTTGCTGGAGGCGTCTTGACTGATTGCCAATGGCTTTCGGGCAGAAAACTGGTGCTCTGCCCTTCAGGTGGAGACGGTGCTGAGCCAAACCGCGGACACGAAGCCCTGGAAGCCCCTTTGGCCCAAGAGTGACAGGTGGTCACCATCCACACTGCGCAACTGCCTTCTACGGAGTGTGTAGGTCCTTCAGGTGAAAGCCCTCGATCAGCCTTCATACATCTCTGCTATAGACTTAAGCGTGCTGCCATGGCAGACATTTGCAGTGAGACGGGCCTCTTCGCCCAGGGCGGAGGTGGAAGTCGGAATAGAGCCAACTGCGATCCATCGACGACTGCTTCCGAAGACCGTGCTTTGATAAAGGCTTCAACGACTGTTTCGCACACGTCGTGCTGCAGGTGCTTCTGTATGTCTTTATGTAGTCACGAGGACGACTGCACAGTGCGCACCCAGGCTGCCATTGCTGGGTTGGCATGCATCGGCGTACTCGTTGGGTCCATCATCATTCGAGATCTTCCCAGGAGCAGTAGCCAAAGCTTGTGAAAAGCCGCTTGAAAAGTTTGCGAAGTGGGGTCGTAGCCACTGGCGCTAGGCTACGGGTGCAACAGTCGAAGCCCATCGACGGCATCCGCACAGCCTCCAGTGGATTTCTTTTTTTGGCATGCCTCTCAATGCTCCAATCGGCATGTCAGTGTGGTGTCCTTTCAGCACCTGAAGTTGCACAGGTGGCCTTGGTCGAGTTTTTCATCGGCATAAGCTCTGCTGAGGCACTCGGGTTGAGTGCGTGCTCAGCCTGCCCTGCGATGCCGCGACTGCTGCAGGTGATCAACTTGTCGCAGGGTGTCGGCGGTGCCTGCCTCGCTGTGGCCGTCTGGAGCTCAGTTCCTGGAGTCGGAAGCCGTGCCAGCGGACGGTTAGCGAAAGGATGTAGGACGTGGGCTCACTTGGCCATAACTCTCTGTTTGACGAAGGAGGCATGACATCATGACGACTTTGTGACGTGAGAACTCCAGCGTTTGTAGTTGAGGCCATGGTGGTGAGCTTCTGGCAACAGCAGGCACCGGGATTTGCACCCCAGTCTCCTGCTCTCGGAGCCTGCTCACATCGATGCTGATTTGAGTTGACCTGCCTGCGCCCGTTTGGCGTGTTAGTTGGATCTCATATGCCTGTCATATTCGTCATTATATTTATTTGTGTCTTCTTCAATCACGATTCCTTCTTTCTGTGTGTGTTTGTGTGTGACACACAGTGTCGGTGAGTGTCGTCTGCGCGCGTGTGTGTGTGTGTGTGTGTGTGTGTGTGTGTGTGTGTGTGTGTGTGTGTGTGTGTGCGTGTGCGTGTGCGTGCGTGTGCGCGCACCTCCTGTACCAAAGGGTTTAGGATATACAAAATAATAGTTCGGGGCAAGGGTATTGCAGGTGGAGCGCATGTTTTGCTTCAACAAAAGCAGGGGCATCTGGCTCTCATGTCCTGCAGAGATCTCGAGTCGCTCATGGGTCGCGTGGTGGCAGCTTGGGGACTCGTCAGCGACTGCACAACGAGAGCCATGGACACAAACAGTGATGAATAGATGCGCAACATGCTTGCGCAGCTACTCAGTAGCTGCAACGTCTGGGGTCTTCCATGGGGGAAGTAAGAGAATCAACAATCGCCAATGGCTGCAGCCAGGAATATGCTTCAGCAAGTTTTTCACGAATGTCTTTGAGGTTGTGCTTCAGGCGGGTGGTTTTTCAGATCACGCCAGGAATGTTGGGGTGTCAAAGTCTTGTGGAGGCTGCGGAGGTCTTGAAGCTCATTCCCTAGGAAATTCAGATTCAGTGGGTATTCATATGATTCATACGTACTCAGTTTTCCGTGCAGACTGCGAGTCCGACAGCGCTTTGACAGAAGTGTCGGGATCATCGTGGCAAACCTGTGCTAGATTGCGACATGGCCGCTGTTCAGCAAGATCGACAAGACCCCCTACCGCTGATGCTCCGCTTTCATCAAGCTGTTCACAGACAGCCAAGACCTTCACCTTGCCAGAAATCAGCAGGCACAGGCTTCAGATGAACCAAGATCCCGAGACAGGCGGCGTGGTTCTTATCGCAGTCGATCAAATAGCAGAAAGCGCATGTCTTTGCTGCCTGAGGACATTGGATGTCTTGCGCATCCTGCTTTTCCACAGCCACACCTGTCATGGCCCACCTGCAGTTGCAGCAGCAGTCTGCTCACCTTGTCACCCTTGGACAAACCTCACCTTTGCACACAAACACACCACCAATTCACTACCTCACCACCCTCCACCTGCTTCTGCTGATCCACCTTTGGTTCCGTCCCACACCACCACCTCGACCGTTTCCACCTCCGTCTCAAATTGTCACCAACTCCATTGAATCCACCTGGCAAAGCATGATTCCTACCTCCACTGACACCGGCAAACGTGGCGAAGGACTCACAAGATGCAGCTCTGTCACAAACACATTGGTGCAAATTATTGCTTTGACAAATTCTGGGCCCCTGGGCCCATCAGTGCCTCGGCTGCCTCAACTTTGCTTGATTAGCACCCAACATCAGCAACACTCTTCGCCCCACTTGCACAGTGAAGTCTACATATGGCTGATAGGTAAAGGATTGTGGATGCAGCTTCGACGAAAGAATCGGACAGGACACAGTGCAACACGAGCCCCTGGACAGTTGACAATGTGAAATCTACTTGATGATCCGCCAAAAACTGCCGTCAAGTCTGTTCTCAAACGTATTCTAGCGTTTCGACAATGTCCCACACCTCGACCACCTCGACCGCTTGTACCTCCACCACACCACTGGCACATGAGCAGTTTCAACGAGCCTTTGAACATTGTGTCAGCAGCATCATCTTTGCCAACAGGGACTTTCATGATTTCTGTCCATTTCCCGCATAAGAAGCATCGTTCTTCATGTAATGTCGCTTATCATTTCTGGCAATCTCGACATGATACAACTTTGGTCGTCGGGACATGTTGTAGCGTCACCTCTAGTTGACTTCTCCAAGCGCACTCGAGAAGTGTTTTTTGCATTACATACTCGACTGGTTCACAATATCTTCGGGCCTTTCGTCATTACGTGCAGAATGCCTGACCTCATGTGTTAACGCTGGCTTCGTCGCCATAGCGTCTTTACAGTTTGGCTGATGAGTGGAAACAGTTTGTGTCTTCATTTATACATGGATGCAATCTTGCGTCCTCACATGGGTCATGCCTTTTAGTCATGCCTTTGCCGTTCTACTCGTTTGGAATGCTTACAAGAGCGCTTAGTGACCCCGTGGTCTACGAACAACTACTTATGAATGCCTCTCAGGCTGAATTTTTTCGTCGCAATACGACGGTTTGAACGTGTTTTCGAGGAGCACCACCCAGCTTCTAGTCTACCGATTGCTGGCTTGCTTCCCAAGAAGGAGAAGGCCTTCAAACGTGCTAGATCCACTATCTCCTACAGACATGTGATACACACAAGGCCTTGTCGAATTGCAGCTATCGCACTACATCTGATCATGCGAATAGTTTGTCCACGATCTTTACTTCCGAACAGTAACGGAGCCACCAAGTGTTCTACCTGATGCTGCCGATCCTCAATCAAGATCTGGTAGGATTTTTTAGATTTATGCCTGTCTCGCGCATTTTTGTTGCAAGACAGTGGGCTGTCACAATGCTGTATCCCCAAGCTTGTTGAAGGTTCCGATGTTGTCTTTACTATAAATCTTAAAGTTCAAGATACCAACATGCGGAGTTGGAAGGGTCGTCCTCGCATAAAAGTTGTGTGACTCTTTTTTCTTCAAATCTTACGGAAATCTGTCAGCTCAGTTGTTCGTCAATGCAGAGTAGCCACCATGGGTATCCAAATCTCACCGATGCTTGCAGGGTTGACTGTGTCCATCGAAGAAGACATCTACGTTCGTCATCTACAGAAGATTTTTGGTCGAATACCTGGAATCTTTTACTGCGCTCGGTATATGGGCAATCGTTTTGTTATTTAGGTTCGGAGACTAGCTGATCGGCTACTACAGCACTTCCTTACCAATGAGTTCTACCAAACCCCGCTCGAATGAGACTTTCTGCAGAGCGATGACGCTAATGAGCAACTGTTTGGTTTTGATGTTCACGTGTTGAACCATTCTCTTACTTGCGTGCAAACACATGAAACGATGTGTTTGGCTTCCGCATGCTCGTGGTCATCGACTACATCAACTTCGAGGCAGGCTTTGATTACTTGTGATACATGTTCGTGTCACAGCATTCAATCGCTGGCTTCATTCATGTCGCTGACTGAATTTTAGTTTTGATTTGCTGTCGTGTATTACATGCAATTCTGTTGTTGGCTTCATCGCCGGCTAGCATATGGCTCATGGTTTCGTAGAAACTGAGGATTAGTAGCCCCAGCACGATGCGAACATCAGCTATGGTTGGCCTTCCTTCGGACGCCTCGAACTAGATTTTTGTGAATCGACATTTGGGTGCAGGGCCACAAGCTTAACCTCAGTGAATGGTGGAAATTTCATTTTCAGCTTTCCTGCACAGATACTATCGAGCGGCATCACTAAATGCATATTGTCTCAGCAGATCTGGGAGCGCGCTGGCAGAACAACGAAGCCGTCGCTTTTCAGCTCCAACAGGGTGAAACTCAATTGAGGTTATATGAGCCAATTGCGAGTGAAACATAGTGAAACCATCGACCTTTTGGGCGATGTTTCAGCTCAGCTTCCATGCGTCACCGTCACACCACCTTGCAAGTGCATCTTTTTGCACACATGTCCATTTGCGGCCCCAATTGGATCTAGATCTCGGCTTTGCTTTTGAAGGCGCCAAGCCGGCCGTTGTTGTGCCGACAGAAGATGTCGTGCTGGCTGCCGTTGATGAAGTTCAGCAGATTCCGTGTCGTGGCATGGCAGTCGATGATGACGGCCAGGTCGCCCTTGAAGCAAAGCCTGTGGGTGAGCCCGAGTTTGTTCCTGATTGTGGGAGTCACCCTGCATCTCACCGACTCCCTCGGAACCCTCAGGGAAGC